ACACCCCTCCTCCACCCTGGGCTCTGCTTTCCCTCCCTTTGGCCTCTCTCCTGCACCCTGGATCTTCTCTCCAGGCCACTTCCTCCAGGCCCACGGGCTAGTTGCCTGCCCATCCCGCTGCATCCTGGATTCCACAGATCATCATCAGACACGCCCTTCACTCTTCATCTTTACCCACCTCTGTCTTCCACTTGGGGAGCCCAGTGTTGGCGTGAGGCCTCTCCCCACCTGCTGCTCCCTGCCTTCCATTCTTAAGTCTACTGAAGGCATCAAGGAGACCAGGGCTGCTAAGCTCAAGAGCTCCCACCCCAGGAAGGTGTCATTGCCCAGTCTGGACCCTTGACGCTGAGCCAGTTACACAGGGCAGTAACAATTAATCCAGAGCTTATGTTGAGGCCATCTTATGGCACTGGGTGGGTGGGGAGGCCTGAACATCAGGAGTTCAAAGCTCTGCATGTGATTCTAAGAGGTGCTGTATCCATACAGGGTAGTACTGCTCAGTAGTAATGTTAGTATATGTTGGCTGCTAACATCTGCTAGCAAAGCCCCAGTGAAGGACCTAGAAAACACTGCTCAGTGAGAGGAGCCCGACACCAAGGATTGTAGGTCAGATGACTTTACTCACACACTGCTTCCAGAGAAGGCAAAACTATCAGAAAGCACATGAACCCAGGGCTGGGAGTGGGACAAATTACAAATGGGGGTGAACCACAAATAGGTACTAGACAGTGGCTGCAGTGACAGATGCAGAAGTGTGTAAATGTACTAAAATAACTGAAGTGTACACTGACAGTGCCAGGGCTGCATAGCACAGAAGTGGTATCACAACGAAATTGTCGAAAGTGGGAAAATTCTATTTAGGGAATCTAGATTTTAGTTTGGACTTAAAAATGTGTATTCACAATTCCAGTACTTGGAAGACAAAGACAGGAGGACCCTGAGTTCAAGCAGGCTACACAGTGAGACCAATATATGAAACAAACAAACAAGCCCCGGGGCTGAGAAGATAGCACTTTTCTGCACAAGCATGAGGACCTGAGTTCAGATCCCCAGCACCCATGTAAAAAGCCAGGTGTGATGGCATGTGCCTGTGGTCCCAGTGCCAGGGAGACAGGGACAGGTAGATTTCTGGGATTCATTGGTCAGTCAATCTAGCAGAATCTGTAAGCTCTCGGTTCAATGAGAGACTCTGTCTCAAATAGTAAGTTAGAGTTATTGAGGAAGACACCAACATTGACTTCTTGCCTTCAAATGCATATACACACATGTGTAACACACACACACGTATACATGAACACATGTACAAAGCAGAATCCCCACAGTGATTCCAATGAGCAGGGGCAGCTGAGAATCCGGTGTAGGAAGCCTGACAGCTGAGGACCCTGGGGCCATGTCTGTTAACACCAGGTTTGCTCCATGGAGCAGCCATGTTATCCTTCTTGGAGTAAACACATATAGTTCCTACATCTTGCCTAGTGCTTTCTTGGGGTAGTGACTAGCCGTTTGATGTGTATCTCCTATGTGGAGATCTTTCATTTATGTTTTATAAAGTGTATAGCTCTGTGTCCCAGCACCTCTGAGGCAGAGGCAGATGTCAACTCCCATTCAAAGGAAAATCCGCTATCTGTGAGGTAAAGCGAGCTGGGGGACAAAACTGCCTGGTACAGAGTCCTTTCTTCTCCCATCTCACAATCCCGTGAGGCATGGCTGTGGCACACTCAGCCTTTCCAGACACAAATCCTATGTTACTTTGGCAGTGGTTCTAGCTCTGGTCCATTTGAGAGTCAGTAGGTCAGAAGGTGTTGTCTGAGGCTGCAAAGCCTGCAAGCTGGATCTAGAGATCGAGAGCTACCCGGGGATCATGGGGCACCAGCCTTGACTTGCAGGAGTAATTGGTGCCAAGGCTGGAATGGCCCTCAGCCTCTACCCTGTTCGCAGTCCCTATGCCACATTGATGAACTCCATGGGATCATATCCCCGTCCCACCCAAGGACGGCTTTCCCTTGATGTTCCTTTCAGTGCATCCATCCGGTCCAGAACAGAAGTGCTCAATGCTGCCGATCGACTGGTTTCATAAAAGGAATCCAGTTTCCTCTGCACTCATGAGAAGTTGTTAGATCCTGGCCAGGGTCCAGCAGCTGCACTCCAGTGATGCAGCCCAGACATCTGGCGAGGATGCCAAGGCTCTCGGGCACAGAGAGGAGTCAGCTGGGCTGGGAGGTTTAATCAAGAGGGGTTCTTGCCAGCAATGCAGCCAAGCCACATCCTGTCCTCTGGAAAGGAGGCTTCCCACCTAGATGCTGGAGACCTTGGCAAAGAGCCCTGACACAGATGTGTGGGGAAAGAGATATGGCACCCAAGAGCTAGTGCCTGGTTCCTGGAGGACAGTGTCACTAGGGAGGACAGTGCTGTAGGAAAAACACTGACCAGCAGCAGGAGCAGCAGGTGTCCAGTCTGCCTGGCCTCTTGAAGCCACTCACCCTCTACAGGCCCCAATTTCCTCCTCTGCAGAATGGGAACCACCTCTCCCTACAGGGAAGGCTCCTTAGGAGGAAGGCAGAAGTGCAGGTGCAGATGGTAGCTGGTTGTGAGAGCGCTTGGGGATCTTCAAAGCACTCAACTGGACATCAAGGCAGATCTTTTGCACTCTTTAGACTACGCTCCACGGGTTTCAATCCTGGGGGGCTCCACACGGGTGATTCTCATGTGACTCCATGAAGTTATAGATGCAAAGAAAGTGATGTCTGAATTGGGGGTCAGGACTTTGGAATTCAGCCTTGATTTTTGTCTTTTTCTTTTCTTATATGTTTTTCCCTTCCTTCCTTCTTTCCTTCCTTCCTTCCTTCCTTTCTTCCTTCCTCTCTCCCTCCCTCCCTCCTTACCTCCTTCCTTCCTCCCTCCCTCCCTCCCTCCCTCCCTCCTTCCTTCCTTCCTTCCTTCCTTCCTCTTTTGAGACAGGGTCTTAAGTATCCCAGGTAAATCTTGATCTTCCTATGTAGCAGAGGGTGGCTTTGAACCTCTGATGCTTCTGCCTCCACTTTCCCAGTGCTGGGATTACAGGCATGCAACACTAAGCCTAGTTTATGTGGTGCTGGGGAATCCAAGGCTTCATGCATACTAGGCAAGCACTCTACCAACTGAGCTATACCCCCAGCCCCACTCCTTTTCTTTGAACAATCTTTCATGATTTTGGAGATGCTTTGAAACCTTGAACTCTGTTCCTTCACTGCCATGGGCCTCAGTTTCCCTCTTTTAGCGAGGAGATTGGGGGGGGTGTCTCTAAGGACATTTTAGGCTTTCACAGCCAAAGATGTTATCAGAAAGAGCAGGTACGCTAGACTTGCTGTAGAGCAGTATTAATGGGACCCCGGCCTGCCCTTGCCCTCCCGCTACCATCACCCTACTTCCCACTCACAACACTGTCACTGCTCCACAAGGGAGCCTGCCAGCAAGAGCTTCTTTGAGGTTTGGCAGTGAGTGGTTCCCAGTGGTGGTCAAGTTCCTTTAGGGTCTTTCTGAGGGGCTGAGAAGCAGGGAGGTGAAAGAGAGTGTTGCCTAGGAAAGGGCCTTGTTTGGATCATTGCCAAACACCACCAAACACTTCCACTCCCAAGTGCAAGGACTTTATAGTTCATGAAGCACTTTCACAATCCCCACAGGGAGGAATGCAAAGCGTTGTTATCCCTGATTTACCTCCAGAAGAGGAAACCACAGCTCAGAGAAGTGAGGGGGCCTCTCTAGGTTCTCACAGGCAATGTACCAAGTGACCACTACATGAGGGTAAGAGCCTAGAAAAGGGACTAGCGGAATGTGTCCCAGAGCCAGGACTGGTGACTCCCAGCCCTACTCTGTCCCACAATTCCTACCATTCTACCTTTTCCAACTCTGTTAGGCATCAGGACATGACTCCATTGAGACTTGCCTGCTTATCTGACTTACATGTGGAAATTCCTCCCACAAACCACAGTTTGCTCCTCTAGGGCTGCTAAGCCTCTCTGGATGGCTTTTTTTCAGAGGCTCCAAGTAGGAAGAGAAAGGAACACAGGAGATAAAATGGAAAGAAAGAGGGAGGACGCACCACTAGTCTGCAGTATGAAGGTGATAACTCCTAAGTCTGCCACCATCCACTGCTGGGAAGGTGTGCTAACCAGAATCTATCTTACAGCGTTCTTGGGGGTGTGGGGCTAGAAAGTGGAACAGCCTTTCTGGAAGTCAGTTCCTCTCAAAAATTTCTTTATTTTTATTTGTATAAGGGTCTTGTCTGCAAGTATGTAAATGTACCATGTGCATGCAATGCCCACAGAGGTCAAAAGAGGGCTTTGGATCCCCTAGAACTGGAGTCACAGATGGTTGTTAGCTGCCATGTGGGTGCTGGGAACCAAGCCCAGGTCCTCTACAAGAGCAGCCAGTGCTCTTAACTGCAGAGCCATTTCTCCAGTCCCTCCTCTCAAATGTTTAATGTCCCAGTAATGCACCTCTAGAAATCTTACTGACAACATGCAATCCTATCCCTGAGTGACAGCAGTAAGACCCTGAGGCTATGAATGGCCTTGAGGTCTGGTTCTGTAAGTTACAAAACACCCATCAGAGTGAACACTGCCCAGTTAAAACACGAGGTTAACCTAGGCCCCAGGAGCCATTGCACAGCAAATAAAAAGCAAAAGTATGAACATGGTATGAAGTCATTTGGACTTAAATGAATATATTGGAAAAGTTCTAGATGGTTAAATACTAAACTAAAAGTAAAGGATTTGGGAAAGAAAGTCGGATTGAGGGACTGAGACAGAGGGGAGGAGAGGAAGTGGTCTGAAAGCCGAAGAGAAGACAATGGGAGCAAGAGAGACAAAGTGGACAGTTTGGGAGAGGAAGGGGGCCAGCCAGCCAGGAGAGGAGAGAGGAATGTGTCTGAGGCACAATGTGCACGAAAATGTCATAAGGAAGCCCATTTGAAAAACACCTTAAAATTCTTTTACTGTATGGCGGAAGTGGGAAAATGATACCTCGGAGAAGCGCTGCACGTCCTGCGTGAGTGTGCCCACGCGCCTCCAGCGGAAGTGCTTGAGCAGCTTCAGGATGGCGGGGTTCACCGCGTTGTCGGAGGGCACAGTCCGGAAGAAGTACGGGTACTTTTTCTTATCTGCCAGGACAGGTGTGGTGGCCGCAAAGGAAAGCTGAAGAAACAAGAGGAAACAGTTTATAGGGGCCTTGCAGCCAGGGCAAGCAGTCTGACCAGCATTTGGGGCAAGATGTACTGTTGTGTTTAAGATGCATTTTATTTTTAATTATGTGTGTGTCTGTGTATGGGTATGTGCACATGAGTGCAGGGGTCTGTTGAGGTCAGAAGAGGGCATCAGATCCCCTGGAGCTGGAGCTCTGGGGTGGTTGGTTCTGAGCTGCCTGACAACTGAACTTGGATCCTCTGCAAGACCAGTACTCTTTCTTAACCACTCAGCCATCTCTACAGCCCTGCAGGATATTTTCTGTTTGTTGTTGTTTTTAACCCTTTTCAGTAAGAGTAATAAGTTAAAATTGAAGAGGAGATAAAAAGAATGCAAGATTCCTCTCAAGAAACAAGGAAACTCGAACTCAACCAGTGATGTGCCCTGTCCCAAAGAAATAGAGCCATTAATGTTGTGGTCTGTTTCATTCCAGAACTTCTCTGTGAGCACTAATTTTTTTATATTTTTTTCCGTACACAAACTGAACTTTTTTTTTCCCCTCATGTAAGCAGCAAGCCATCCTGTCAGCAATTCTTTGTGAACATCTTAATATTGTCATCATAGCCTCGCATATGAGTCATCTCTAATTTGAGGGCATTCAAATTGTTTTTAGTATGCTATGCTGCTTGCCCCATTTATTGCCATTATTTCATGGGCATTTTGGGTGCATAGCATTTCCCCCTCCGTATGTCAGAATATTTCCATAAGATCATCTGTGGTGTAAATGTTCCAGATAAGGATGACCTGGGAATGTTGCTTGGCGTGCTCACCTAATAGGCACAGAGCCCTGGGCTCAGTCCCCAGAACTAACGACATAACTGGGCTGTAGTGCCACACACCCATAATCCAACACTCAGAAGGTAGAGAGACAGGAGGCTCAGAAGTTCAAGATTGTCCTCACCTACATGATGACCTTGAGGCCAGCCTGGGCTACATGAGATCCTGTCTCGAAAATAAAATAAAAAATGAAAACCCAACAGGCTATGAGCCTTTAAAGTCTTCATATTTAAATCATCCAAAGGGATTTCATCCTTTTGCAAATGTACTACTCAGAGATAATTAGAAGGCCAATTTTACCACATTCTTGTCAAAAAGGAATACACCACTTTTCTACTAGTTTTATAATGAACTCTTACTGAAATGGGAGCATATTACATTCATGGACACATAATGTTGAATCTTTGTCCACAGAGCGGTTCATAAGGTTCATAAAGGTCCTACCTTAGGACCTGCTTTAGCATGTCTTCAGTTTTAAGTGGCATGCCAGTGCTTTACTAATTGAATTTAAGGAAGATACTTAAAGTGTGTCGCATTCAGACCCAGCCTATCACGGCTGCTGCCCAAACTCAGCTTGTTTGTCTTTGCACTTGTTATTTTAATTTACACCCAGTAGTCAGATCTGTCCATCCTTCCCTTTATTATTTCTTCGTTTTCTTTTAAGTGCCAGTAAGTTGTTAAATTGGATTTTAATTATCTGCCCAAATTAAATGTCACCACTTCCTAGTTCCCTCTGATCTCTGCTCTCCTTCCCTTTGCCTCAGACAGGGAAGGTAGCTATCAACCTTTTTGATCCTTGCAGTGTGACCGGCAGGGGGAAAAAAGCATCTGGCTGCAGTTCTCATTTGCATTTATCTCACTGAGTCTCCCTTCCGAGGTCTGAGAGCAGTCTGTAGTGCCTCTCTGGGATGGCTGTCATCCTTTGTCCCTTTTCCAGTTTGACTCCTAACCTTCCTTCTCTGTTTGTAGAAAAGTGATCTTTTCTATCAAGGAAAAAAACCCTTTGTGATAGAAATCTCTAATTTCCCATCTATGAATAGTTTGTATTTTGTCTTTTGATGTTACTTATGGTCTTTGCCATGAAGAAATGCTTTTGGAGGGGGGCTTGTCAGTGAGATGGCTTAGTGGGTAAAGGTGCTTGCCACGAAGCTTGACAGTTGACTGTGATTCCTGGGACCTACGTAGTAGAAGGAGAGAACTGACTCCTACAAGTTGTCCTCTGATCGCTACACATGGGCTGTGCCTGTACACACACACACACACACACACACACACACACACACATGCACACGCACACACAATTTAAAACCGCTTAAAGAAGTGCTTTTTCTTTGAGATGTGGTTGAAATTATATATTTTTTTCATTTACTTCTTGTGTTTTATGTGACATTTAGAAAGGCCTTCCCTGCCCTGGGATTATGAAAGAATCCCTCTATGGTATCTTCGGTTCTCTCTCCTTCCTTATTGTTTCATTTAATTGTTGATCCAGAGAAGGAATGGCTGAAGCCACTGCTAATCCCAGCAGCAGCTCTAGCTCTGACACGTACCAGCTCGGGTTCAGCATCCCGAGGGACAACAGCCAGGACCACGTAGCCACAGACGAGAGTCTTGACTGTAGCATCCAGCACGTTCTCCCCAGACCTCCAGGAGTGCAGGCAGAAAAGTGCTGTCCTTTTCTCTGGTCTGCATCTCAGAGGGCAGAGAGCTGCTCTCTAAGGGCCTTGGATGTTCTATGTCCACTCTGCGGTCCCCACGGACCTCATCTATTGGAGCTGACCATGCAGGAACCCAGTAGTCATCACATGGGGTTAGACAGGACTCAAAGAAAAGACATGGATATCCCAAGACTGACAAGGGTCAAAGGCAGATGACTGATTAAAAGATGCTGGCTAGGATAAGGACCAAAGAGAAGAAGCCACAGGGAGTGGGATTCCACCTGCACACTGCACGCTTTCACTTTCAGAGCTGCCCAGCACAGGAAAGTCTGACACTAGAAGTAGTGAGAGCCCCATATCTGGAGGTATGCAAACAAAGGCCTGACTGGGTAGTGAGTACAGAGGGAATCCACTGTCTGTGAATCCTTCCAACCACCATAGGGAAAGGGCTGTGTAGGAATGTCAGCGCATACGGATACACACATTTTTTCTGAAACAACAAAAGAATCTATGGCTTCCATCAGATTCACCCTACAATCTAAACAGGGTTTCACACCTGCTTGCAAGTGACACGTGAACCCCATAGGGAGCTTAAGAAACAGCAGCTGTGTACAGTTTCAGCCGATTTAGTGTCCAGGACTTTTCTCTCAAGATTAGAACCCCACTGCCAGCCTCCTCCACCCAGCAGCTAAGAAGGAGGTTTTGAAAAATCCGGGAACATCTATTTCAGGACCTGGGATGTTACGCATGTCCATTGCATTCCCCCAAATGCTTATCTAATACAATTTGGAAAATATTGGTTTTCTGATGTGCTCGCTCAATGGTTCTCTGGTTGCTACTTTACCGTTACTGTCCCATTAGTTCCAGGTCCACAATTAATTGTTGGTCCAACAACCTCATATGTTTGCCCTGTAGGTAATTACAGTGGTTACTGTTCAGTGAATAAATGGTCCATTGTGTTTACAATGGGCTTGGAGTACAATATATGCCTCAGGTCTAAATCATGTTGAGCGCAAAATATTAACTGACGTTGACATTTTCTGCGCCATTTGAGATAATGTACTTTGATTAGATTGCATTACTGTTTCTTGGGCTTTAGCCTCTTAAAACTTTCTTCCATGGGCAGACTGCAGGTGCCTCGAGGTACCACAGAACTTCTGAACTGGGGGAGTCTGAGAATTCATCTAGCTTTGGGGCTGTCTATCCTGGATGCTGTGCCACTGAGTGGCTTGGGAAGATATTTTTTAAAAATCTGATGACTTGGTCCTACATCAGACCAACTAAATAAAACTCTCTAGGCAGGGAGTCCAGACAGCATCAGTATTTAAAAATTTTCCAGATGAGGAGGATGCCCATTGAGGGCTAAGAAGGGCTGACAGGCTCAGCACCATGGTTCTGAATAAAGAAGCTGCAGACCAGAAATAGGGCTTTCTCGAGATATTCGGTATAGGCAGGGAGAGGTAGAAACAGGACTTGAACTCAGGTCTAAAGAACTCTCAACACCAGTACTCATTCTTGAGTTGCCCACCTGCTCCTGGGCACTCCCTAGACTTTCCTCCCCCAGCATCCGGCAACACTGGGGCTGCTGGCACCAGCACCCCGACTTGAAGACTCACGTTTCTGGGCTCCCTGCCTTATTTTACACTAGCAGATTAGCTTCTGAACAGACTGTGATGGAAGCTTATAGCTAATCCTGAACCACAGACTGACTACAGAGAGGATTTTAAATTTTAATTTATAGTTTTGTTATATCTAGTTTTACCACAACTGCTTTGAGAATTTGGCGCTTACAGTACCTGCTTTGGAAAGGTATTGAGATTTTGCTTAGTGGTCTTTTATAGATTCAACTTTTATAAAGGTTCCACAGTGGCTGATTCAATCTCTAGACATAAGTGACAGAATTTTTTATTAGACTACTGATGCATAGTAGATACATCCAGCCTAATCATATTACTGGCGTGTGCTTTGTGTATTTGTTTACTTGATCTATCCAGGGAGGAAAGACTTGCTGCATTTTTCTCTGGGGTCTCTGACTGCCTCCTTGCATTTCAACAGGTTTGGCTTTGTAGGCTTTGATTTTGTGATGTTTTGAGCATAAGTGTTCATCACAATTGGACCTTTATTTTTCAGCCATGCATATCCTTGCCTGGTGCGAGCAGCAAGTGCCTGATAGATATTCATGGAGTTCACAGAGGACTGAAATATTTATGAAGGTAAAATAAACCTGTTATTTTAGTGTTTTTTATTTTATGCTATATCTTGCTTGATATTAATATTATGACACAGTTTTTGCTTATGTTTGACTATCATAGCTTTGACCCTCCTATTTGTATTCTATCAAAATTATTCTATTTATCTATCTATTTATCTTTCTATCACCAGTTTAGGTATTTCTGGGAAATATCACATGGGTAGATCTTAACACACTTATCACCACAATAAATACTTGATCTTGTTGGCTGTCTCAGTCTCCTATGCTTCTTTTTCGTTTCCTTTGGTTCCCTTTAGAGGATGACTTTG